GGTCTGGCTGCTGCCCCGCCTCGGTGCCGACCCCAGAGCCCCCTTCTGAGCTGCCGTCGTGGGCGGGGGACAGCAGCCGTCGTGTGGGAGGACCCCCGTGTTCCCCTCGATCCCCGTGTTTCCTTTGCCAGCAGGGATGGCCCCCACGGGCAGGGTGGGACAGCTGTGACCTGATGCACCCCCATCTTTCCCCTCTGAGCACACCCTGCTGCATCTCCTGTTCACGTTGGGATATACAGTGGGCCCCAAACCAGGTCCCTGGTCCTGGGCCCAGGCATCTCTGCCACACTGGGTCTGCTGTGGCACCATTTCCACCTGGTGCAGTGGGGCTTGAGCCCTGCCTGTGGCAGGCCACTGCCATCTCCCGTGGGTACCCCATGGGCATCTAGTTTGGGCCCTAGCCCCTGGGTGCCCAAAAAGTCTCAGACAGGACATGGCCAAGCCTACAAGCTTCATTTGAGGCCCCATGTCCAGCCACCTCTGCAGCATCACCATCAGCCTTTCATGCATCCTTTCCTCTGAGCACCCCACCTCTCCAGTTTTGCATTAACACTGCTCCCTATTTTTGTTGTCCCCTGCAATCACCAGATTTATGCCATTTTCTTTCTCCCAGCCCACTCCCTCCTCCCAGGGGAGGCACCACACAGTTCATTAGAATCTGGTCAGTGCCCAACGCCACTGGGAAATCAGTAAAGCCTGTGGCAGTTGAAAATGGTATTTCAGAAGCACGTGCAAGCCTGCAGTCCCTTCCTCTTGGACACCATTCAGCTTGTCACCCTTTTTATGATCGTTGACACAAGGCTTATCCAGCTTCCTGGCCGTTGCCTTGATGCTGCAGCTGAGGACAGGGCTGTGCTTAATGAATTTATTCACACTGTTCCCAAAGCAGTGTTTGCTCAGCCACATACTTTGTGCAGCATCACCCTCTGGACTTTGAGGTCTGCTCCTCTCCATCATTTTTCTTGAATGACCGACACCTCTATAGGTGTTTGCAAGCCAAACCCCTGAGGGAAGTTTACAAAGCAAGGCCTGGCCCCTTTGAAGAGCTTGGCTGCGTTCCCAGGGACTTCAGCAGGGTCAGAAGCCCATTCCTGGGAAGAAATTAGAGCCAAAGCCAAACCCGTTTCCGCTGCAAATCACTCCTCAGCTGGAGTGTGTGGCTGCGCTTTGATAGTTCACGTCAGCGTGCACGTCTGTGGGGAGGGCCAGAACAAAGCAGGGGTCTGTGCCTCTTGGGATTCATTGAAGAGCAGGGACTGAGCTTCTTGGGGTGGGATGGGGTGGGTAGGAAGACCGTGGTGGCCACCCCTGCTCATGGAGTGGCTATGCCCTGGCATGAAGAACTACAGACTTTTCCCCAAAAGCCAACACTATAGCTCACTTTTTAGCACTTTTGCACAGCTACATTTGCTGAAGAAATGCTGGTCTGCTCTGTAAAACAGTGCTTTCCTGCCCCAAAGACTCCGTAAGAGTAAGGGGAGCTGGAGCCAGCCAGGAACAGAGCCGGATCTTAAGCAGAAATTGTTTGGTTATTTTTAATTGGGCTCCAAAATACAAGAGGGAATGATCTTCATGCACAGGAAATGGGACACCACTTCAAAAAGAGCAAAAAAACAAAGCAAGTCAGGAGCATACACAGAACATCTGGAGGAAGGCTCCCAGTGTGGAAAGCCTACAGGATTTGGCATGTTTGTGCACACCTTGCTTCAAAAGGTCCAGTTAAAAGAACTAAATTTGCTTTTAAATGAAATTCGCATCTGTAGATGCAGGGTCAGCAGCCTCCTTTGGTCTCTGTCTTTCCATTTCTGGTTTCATCTGAGTGATTTTTTTTTTTTCTTCTGCATTTATCCATCATTTTGAAAAATTCAAAGCCTCTCCCAGCTGTCACCACAGTCACCTTGTCTTAGCACTAGCTGAATTAGAAAACCGATGGAAAAATAGAAGATTATTAGGGGAAAAAATGGGAAAAAAAATTGTTCAAAGAGTAGAAAAAGATAGGTTCTTGCAGACCTGGGTCCCTAATTTCCAATGCATGTCCATTGTAGAAAGGCTCCACTTTTCTACATAGCATGGACTTGTCAAGTGAATAACCATGTAAGAGGCAAGTCCAGTGCATTAAAATACCACAATTGTAAGTCTCTGGCATTATGACCCTGCAAAAATTCCATAACATAGGTTTTTCAGCCTTTTTACCTTTACTGAGACAGAAAGCAAAGGTGACTCTAAATCAACTCAGAGTGGGCAGCAAACCTGAATCATGGGCAACGTTTTACAGGAACACAACTCGGTAAAGATCAGAGAGCTTCAAGGAGCTCAGAGCTGGGAAACATGGCAACTGCTTACAAGTAGCAGAGCCCTAATCCTAGTGCATGCCACAGTAGCTAGTCACTACTCTTATGAGCTTATAGCACTAGCTTTACTTGGAAAAATAAATAATATATGTATATTACCTTACTTTTTAAATAATAAGGGCTAATAAGTTAGGTGAGGGGCTGACAGCAGGCTGCTATTTTCATCTCCAGTGTGCTTAGGGAGAGGGGTAGGAGAAGCAATGCAACCCTGCACCATGCCCTGGCATTGAAGCCTGGGACAAGCATGGGATGAGTGTCACAGAGTGGTTTGAGTATGCGTGGGTACTGGGTGGCTTTCATAATTAAGGGCCACAACCCAGCTTCAGCTAATGGGAACTCTGGGTGATTGCAGTTCAGGTGACTGCAGCTATCTGTGTCCAAGCTGAGGCTGGTGGCTCGGAGAAACCTGATGTTGTCTTTAGTTCACATTTAGTTTAGTTTGGTTGAAGTTGTGTTATCAGGGAGAGTAAGAGAAGATATTTTTTTTCTTGCAACCCACCACAACATCACGCCTGTGCTGCAGCAGTGCATGAGCTCCCAAATACAGTGGCTGCCACTGAAAAAGGTTGTCAGGCACCAGCTCTTCGTTACTTCCCTCCCAAACAAAAGAAATCGGCAGGAATTTGAAAATTTAGGAATTTGTTTCTCTTCTTAGAAAAGGGGGGGGAAACAACACAGTGGGGGATGTTAACCAGCTGGGAAATGCACTGATATTCAGTCACTGGAGCCTCATCCTAAGTGGCTGTCTCCCTCTTCCCGTGCTCCCCAGGGATGCTGGTACCACCCTCCACTTTGCCCCAGAGCAATTTCTATTCTAGTAAGGTAATTTTTAATTGCCTAATTGGCAATTTGGCACAGAAGTGTGGCTTCAGCCCTCTCCCAGGCAAAGGGAATAGCATTGGGGCACTCTGGGGGAATGTTTGACCATGCATGTGTGTGTGTTGTGTATAAGGAATTTTTTTTATGGGTGTGGGACAGGGTGGGCACACTCAGCCTCAGCGGATGGGCTGCTGGCACCAGCTTTTGCGGCGGATGGGTCTCTGACTCCTGTCACAGCACGTTCCTAAGTGAGTGCCTGCTCCAGAGAAGGGATTTGATCATTTCAGAGTGTGAGACATCATGTATCCTGATGCTGGCAACATCTGGTTGCCTTAGCTACCTGAGTCATGGTAACACAGTACAGCTTCCAGGCAGGGCTGCCAGGAAGAAGCCACAATCTGAGGTCACGGATGAGGATGGACAGGGCTCACACCTAGGAAAAAAGGAAATAAAATGAGGTTTTGGTGTTTTACCTCCTCTGTAGCTCTTCCCACATGCCCATTGGAGGGACATGCTAGCTTTCCTGAAGGATTTAGCAGTTCATTTAGCCTGCTGAGGTCTCTGGCTGGCCCCAACATTGCGTCTCCCTCACCAAGAGATGCAGGAGATCACACTGCAGCTCTCAGCCATTGCAGGGTACCAGTATTCCCACTGCCAACATGTTTTTATTCCTGACGTTGCTCTGTAATCCCAGAGATGTGCATCTCCTCTCTGAGGGGTCTGTCCCTGAAAAAGGACCCCTAATTTCACTGGTGCTGTGTCAGCATCTCATCAACAGAGGAAAGTGGAAACTCAAGGCTGTATAAATTCTTTATTTACACATGACATCTGTTTTTTTTTTAAAGCTGGTTTACAGGACTGACATTGAAATCATGCCAGCTGAAGTCTATTAGTAACAGAGAAACATATGCTCTCACATTGCAAATTGTTACCCTCCAAGTTTATATTAGGGTGTGGCTGTATCCGTAGGCACATGCAGCTGTAGGGGCACATACAGTGACCACTGGGTCTCCAAGGAAACTTGTACTCAAAAAAACACCTAAATAGCCATAAGAAAAGGGTGGGGGTTGCTGCAGTGGAAAGGTTGTAAGGAGCAGTCTTTTTTTATGCTTTTCACATTTTTCCCCCCATTTTCATACTCCTTAAAATGTTTGTTGTTTTAATTAGACTAATCCAGAATATCTCTGGGAAGTTTTTGGTTATAGAACCTGATTATTCCTTCTCCTCCAGAAATGTCCTGGAACAAATTGGTGCCATTGATTTCCCCCACTGGTCAGGTGGTGGCTGCTGGTCCCTCAGACAGGAGGGGGAGACACACTGTGGGGGGACTCAGTCTCACCTTGGAGATGTTCACATCTTTCCATGAAGACAGGGAGACCTCAGGTACTTCAAGATGGCCAAGTTCAGGTGAAGAAGCTCTTCTGTTAGTGGCAGCTCACTAAAAAAGGCCTGAGCCAGGGAGACAAAGGCCACCAAGGCTGTTTGTTTAATTATTACAGCAAATGAAATGCAGCAAGGCTGGAGCTTTTGGGTTAATTTAAACAAGGGCAGCAACAGAAGCGTCTT